GGGTATTAAGCAAGCCTAGAGATCCGAGGCACTCGGACTCGAAAGGGTTCGGATCCACGAACCTAGAGGTCCTAAACACTTGGCTTCAAAAGCTCAGACATTACTTCCTAGCACATCAGATTCAGATTGTTACTAGAAGTGATCCAATCCGATACCTCCTCAGCAAGCCTGCTCTAACCGGGAAGGTGGCAAGATGGTTGTTAGCATTGGGTGAATTCGAGATCACATGTGTAGCCCCCAAGGCGATCAAAAGCCAAGCCTTAGCTGATCTCCTTGCCCAATTTCCAAGTGGTGACTATGAACCAGTGAATGAAGAATTAAGAGGAGAGGTGCACGCAGCTATGGCTTCCGAGGAAAGCTTCTGGACATTGAGCTTTGACGGAGCAGCAGCCGGAGGTAAAGGAGGAACCGGGATAGTCCTTACAAGCAAAAGTGGAGAAAAGTTATATTTGTCTTATAAACTGGATTTCCATTGTTCGAATAATGAAGCCGAGTATGAGGCTCTTATTTTGGGCTTGATAGCAGTTGAGAAGCACAATATCAAGAAGATTCGAATTCGGGGGGACTCAAAGCTGATAGTGAAGCAAGTTTCAGGACAGTTCGTCTTGAAGGAGCCTGCCTTGGTCACATATCGAACAACAATCCAAAGGCTTCTTGACAAATTTCAAAAGGTCGAAATAGAGCATGTGCCTCGCTCCGACAACAAGTTTTCAGATGCCCTCGTAACATTAGGAGCAAGAGTTGACATTCCAGAGGAAAAGGCGACAATTGTTATCAAGAAGAGAACAAAACCTTCAATAATTCTCGAAAACAAAGACCTTCGGGAGGACTAGAGAGGAGAAGTCCTCGAACAACTCAGAAGCAAAGTTGGAAAACTGACTATGGCCAAGCTTGCCCAATTCATAATTATTCAAGGAGAACTTTACTTCCGAGGGGGTGCCGGATTCCTAGCCCGTTGTGTTGGCCAACAAGAAGTGAGCTTCCGACTACAACACATCCATGAAAAGTCTTGCGGGGATGGGGATATCAGTCTGTATAGAAGAATCCAAAGACAAGGCTATTATTGGCCCGAGATGGTGAAGGCCTCGAATCAATTACAGAAGGAATGCCCCAAGTGTCAGTCATACATCCGGGAGCATGAGAGTTACTTTGAAATTGACACCCTCGACTGGAGGCAAGTCTACATTGACTATCTCAAAGAGGGAACATTACCTGAAAGCCCAAGGGACATTGCACACCTCAAGAGGAGAGCAAGGCGGTACTTTCTTGATCAGAACAAGCTTTATAGAAGAAGTATTGAGGGCACTCCCCTGAGGTGTCTCTCCAAGGAGGAGTCAGATCTAGTCCTCAGAAGAGCTCACGAGATTGAACATCAAGGAGGGGCTCGGCTGTTTGACCAACTTATACACCTTGGGTATTACTGGCCGACCATGGAGTCAGATGCGTCCCATCACGTGAAGAAGTGCCAGACTTGTCAGAAACATGAAAATTTGATCCATGCTCTAGCTGTAGACTTGCATAGTATCCGAACGCCATGGCCGTTCCATATCTGGGCTTTTGATCTGATAGGGCCCATCTCCACACCTTCTAAGGGGTACAAGTGAATTCTCGCAGCCACAGAATTGAGTACAAAGTGGGTTGAAGCAATTCCTCTGAAGAACGCTACGAGGCCTGCAGTCGCAAACTTCATCAAGGAGAATATCATTTGCCGGTTTGGAGTACCAAACACCGTCCTCTCGGATAATGGCACTCCCTTCATAAACAAATATGTGAAGAGCCTCCTAGAGACTTACCAAGTGAAGCATCACAAATCCACACCATATTATCCAAAAGGGAACGGGCAAGTGGAGGCCACAAACAAGACACTGATAAGGATTCTAAGCAAGATGATGGAGAATTTGGGGGGACTTGGTCCGAACAGTTGATAGTAGCCCTATGGGCGTATCGCACTTCAAAGAGAAAGCCGACTCAAGCAACTCCTTACTCCCTTGTGTATGGGGCCGAGGCAGTGTTACCTATAGAGTTGGAAACACCATCTGCTCGGATGGCTCTCGCCTCGGGGATGGTATTGGAGCCTCGAACCACCAGATTGGAAGCATTAGAGGAAAAGCATGACAGAGCTGCAAAAGTCATGGAAAGGTATCATGAGTCCATCGCCCGAGCCTATAACCAGACTATGGTACCAAGGAAGTTTGAAGAAGGTGATCTAGTATGCAAGATTGTAGACCCAATCATGCGAGGACAACCTTTGCCCAATTTTTCTCCAAAATGGGAAGGGCCCTACAGAGTGGTTCAGGCGAGCTCAAGCGGGTTGTAAGGGTTGAAGATGGCTTCTGAACTGGCCCGCTCAATACAAAGTTTATCAAGCATTACTACCCACAGTTAGACTCATCTATGTTGAAATTCATTTTCATTTTCTTACTTTGTCTAAAAGTTGTATTTCCCTTACGTTATGAAGAAGCTGGTTTTCTCTATGGTGTATGTTTTATCCCATCACTTGCAGTGAATCTATTATACTTTTGTCAAGAAAGTTGAAGAACTAATGAGAATATTTCAGCTTTTATAAACATGTGCGTACGATTGTTCTTTCCATTGTATCATTCGAAATAAATATTTTATCAAGTAGAATAAGAAAACAATGCGAAAATATCCAAATAGCAAAAATTTTATCATTACATTGCATTGTCCTAGATAAAACATTTTTATCGAAAGGGGCAAGAAAGTAATAAAAAAAAAAAAAGAAAAAAAAGAAAAAAGAGTACAAAAAAAATAAAATTTTTGCTTGTCAATTTTTTTTTGTTTTGTTTTGTAAATTGAAGTGCGTCATCAACTTTATCCATAGGCTCTGTCGTGACAACATTTTTTTTGAGACGTGATGTGAAGCAGGGTCGAAGAAATGACAGTATGCATGTCCGAGAAATTTAAAATTTCTCATACACGCAAGGGGCAAATGTAAGAGGAGCTAATTTGAGTCTGCTAAATTAATTAGGTCTAATAGCCCAAGATTAGTGGGCCCGAATTTATCGCAAGTTTAAGATTGGTGAGCCTGGATTTATCGCCATCAAACGGGCTGAATTGCTCTAAGCTTTGAAAAGGTTCGGATCCATGAACTTAGAGACTTACTCAGACCCGGACTCGAAAGGGTATTGAGCTATCTTAGAGATCCGAGGCACTCGGACTCGAAAGGATTCGGATCCACGAACCTAGAGATCTAAGGCACTTGGCTTCGAATGGATTCAAACGCAATCTAGAAGCCGCTCCGTTAATGAGTCCCAGAACACTTGCGGGCTCGGAGCTTTCCAGGGTCTACGCATCAGAACCATGGGCATAATGGAGTTCGAACAAAGGACCCGATCCCGAGGACGGTGAGTGGAGATAAATTCACTCTTCAGTTAAACTAGCCTATACCCGAGTCGAGGTGGCACGACCCGGGGGGTCCATGAGACTCGGAAATATTTTGCTGTAGGACGTCCTCTGGGACTACCCCTGACCCTTTGGGATGATTGGGGATCATTGGTTAGTTGTGGCTAAGAAGAAGGGTTCGCCGAGGGGGTTGATCTCCTCTTCGGGGTTTTTCTCATCCTCGGAGAGGTCACCTCCTCGGACAAGGTGGTTAGAGAGAATATTTTCCATGTGCCTTGCATATGGGCTCCATCCTACATCATGAGGTGCCTATAAATAGCACCCACCCATAGCTTTACAAGGGATGGATTTTGGAGATTTTTTAACTCTTGGGAAAGAACTAATTTCCCTTCTCCACTATCAACCTTGAGAGTGAAAGTGGGAGATCCATGGGAGAGCCTTGCCATTATTCTATTCTCTAGCCATTTTGCCTTCTTCTTCACGCGCGAAGTCGGGTCTTCTTCAGAACTTTATTCGGTCCGATCATCGTCCTTTACTCTTGTGTTCTTGAGTTGGAGCTATTGAAGAATCTAAGCTCTCACATTTCTTCTAAGAATTCGAAGTTGTTCTTCAAGGATCTTCGAAGATCTTCGAATTTTCAAACTCTTCAACCCACTCCTACAGGGTCTTTAAAATGTATGTAGTAACTTTGTGACTATAACTTGTAATGCTTTTAAGTAAACATTAGGTATGGAAGCCTTGTACTGACGCCTAATATGATATAATGAAATGATGACTTGTTCATATCTGTTGGCTGTTACTTGTTTTAATATTCATCACCACCCTAAGAAAACTATACCTTAATTTCAAATCTCGTGAGAAAGATTACCTTTAGCTAGAAATTTTAAAAAGCCAACTTACCTCGTACCAAGAACAAAATGGTGGATACGCAGTAACGACTATTCAAAAACCGAAGACAGAAACAAGTGCTCGCGAAATGCCTCCGCAGAAATCAACATGGACCCATCCCCGCAGGGGCTGACGTCCCCAATAACCTAGGTCATCAGATTTTGGAGGAACTAGGGCAAATAAGGAACAATCGGCAGAATGAGAGGACTCGACTCTTTTCTGAGTTTCGGAAGCAGAGGCCTCCAAAGTTCACAGGCGTACCGGACCCGAAAATGGCTGAGAATTGGCTTCGACAGATAGAGAAAATGCTAGACACCATGGGCATCACCGAGGCCACTGATAGAATAGCTTTGGCAACATTCGAGCTTGATGATGAGGCTGACCATTGGTGGGAGTTAATGAAAAACACTCGTGACATGGCAAGCCTATCATGGAACCAATTCAAGGAACTATTCTTAAGTAAATATTTCCCAAGTACTATCCGTCGAGGACGAGTCAAGGAATTCCAGAACCTGGAACAAGGAAATATGACCGTGACCCAGTATGCTGCAAAATTCGAAGAGCTACCCCGCTATGCAACTAGACTCTTGGCAAATGATGAAGAAAAAGCAAGGATGTTCGAGTGGGGACTGGATCTTACAATCAGGGGAAGAGTCCTTCCGCAACGACTCCACTTATATGCCGAGGTGTTGGAGATGGCATTAGAATTTGAAAGGGAAGTAGTCGATGCTATGAAGACTTGGAACAAGCAGAAAGGGGGTCAGATATCTGTTGGACCTTAGAGGAACCAGAAAGGAAATATAGTCTCGAAGCCCTACTCCAGACCACAACCACAACCATAACAACAACGGTAACAACCGTGACAACAGATCCAGAGAGGAGGCTATCAACCAAGGTCGGCAGGACAACTCCAGTGCTTTCATTGCTAATAATTAGGGCACAAAAAGAGCGAATGCCCCCAACTCCCAGCATCCGGATACCAGGAAAGAGGTTCCGGAGCAAATGCCCAGGCATTGGGTGGGCAGAAGCCTTAGACAAACAAGACAAGACCTACTAGGCAACAGCACCAGAAGAGTGGAGGAACTCAGAATGCCACGACCAGTGGCAACCAAAAGGCAACCGGCAGAGTCTTTGCTTTGCAAGGGGAAGAAGCGGACCCATCTGTAATTGAGGGTAATTTAGTGCTATATCCTCTGCTTGTTTTATTTGATATTGGTGCATCACATTCTTTTATATCCTTTGCTTGTGCTAAGTCATTAGAACTTGTATGTGAACCCTTAAAAACTGCCTTAAATGTAATGTCACCTATGGGAGGATGCATTCAAATGGGGTTGATCTGTAAGGATTGTAAAATAGGAGTGTCGAACCTACGCTTAACTTGTGACCTTCGTGTCATGGAAATGTCAGACTTCGATATCATTTTGGGCATGGACTGGTGGTCTGCCCACCGAATGATGATCGACTGCCGTCAAAGGAAAGTAGTAGCTCACATGCCAGACGGAACACGTTTCTAGTTTAAGGGGGATAGACAAGACTCCATGACTTCAATGAAACGTAGGACACGGTGGCACGATCAACTTGC